TAATTTGCATACGTAGGCTCCAAGCGGTGGAGCAAAGCCTGATGACTGGTGGCCGATGGAGCAGCGAGGCCTGACGTTTCCGGGGCCAGCGGAGTAGCGAGGCCTCACGTCCCCGGGATCAGTGGAGCAGCGAGGCCTGATGTTTCTGGGGCCGGCGGAGCAGCGAAGCCTGACGTTTCTGGGGCCGGCTCTGGCCAGAACTTGGCCAGAACGAAGGCCTGGGCCCCGGGTGCTGGAGGCAAACTGGTGCCAGCAGCCAGGGGAAAGGAAGGCCTATTGCACGAATCTCTTCGTGCAACAGGCCTCTAGTTTAGGAATAAAGTGATATGATGTCTAGAATTTACTTCATTAATAGAGAGACAGAAAACAAGGAGGTGCAAGAAGAAAAAAAATGTTAACTAAATGAAGGTTACATTGGAATTTATAATACTATTTTCTGTATGTTTGAAATTTATCTTAGGAAAAAATTGCATATGCAAATTATCTCATTGTGGTTAAAAAGAAAAACCCTGTAAGGATACAAGCTAAGTTAGGAAATCTGGTAGCAAAAAAAATGTATTATTTTCTTATTTTTAATTATATGTGTTTTCTAAGATTCTATAATAACAATTTAATGCTTTTATATCAGAAATTTTAACTTCATACTAATTACAATAATTAGTAAGTATCTAATTCAAGATTGCAAACTAAACACAGGCTTTTGTTGCTCATTCCTTCTAAAAGAACACTGAAATAAAAGTAAAGAAGAAATATTCCTAAAAGAATATAGAAAAAGGATAGAGTTGTGAAAGAGAATTGAACCAACCAACAAATAAGAGATGTCAATAAAATTTCTGAACAATCGGAAGAGATGGAGACATGCTGAAAGGTGAAAGAAAGCTATAAAAGCTGCAACCACTTGTGCATTATGAGAAAGTTACAGAAATTATCTATCCCTTTAAAAGTCCATCTAGGCTTAGAATCAGCCAGTGATCCAACAATAGGGATCGTAAGTATGAAGTGATTGTGAAAATATTATAATTAATTGAAAGACTATATACAGAACTCACTATTCAGCACTCAAGTCCTTCCTCAACATTGACTGAACAGAGTATTCAGGTGTCTTGGCATTTATCTCAGAAGAAAAAAAAAGGGAAGGAGACAGGGAGGGAGAGACTATCCTTCTCCAAAGAAACTGAACAAGTTGCATGGAGAGCAATGGAGTTTCTAGGTAATTATTAACATATACGGGCTCAAACCAATCAGTGTGCCATTCTTCCACTCAAATCTAAGTCTGACAGTCAACACGTCTCACCCACATACACAGACTAGACAGAATAATAAGGATCAGCCCTAGCCAATTTGGCTCAGTGGATAGAGCGTCAGCCTGCAGACTGAAGCGTCCTAAGTTCAATTCTGATCAAGAGCATGTACCTCGGTTGCAGGCTCAATCCCTGGCCCTGGTCAGGGAGCACATGCTGAGGCAACCAATTAATGTGTCATTCTCACATTGATATTTCTCTCTGTGTGTCTCTCCCTTTCCTTTCCACTCTCTAAAAATCAATGGAAAAATATCCTCGGGTGAGGATTAACAAAAAAAAAAAACAAAACAAACAGAAAACAAAGAACAACAAGGATCAAACCTATTTACACATCAGTAGAATAAACCTAAATTAGCTACCTAGAGTGATGGCGAACCTATGACACGCGTGTCAGAGGTGACACGCGAACTCATTTTTTTGGTTGATTTTTCTTTGTTAAATGGCATTTAAATATATAAAATAAATATCAAAAATATAAGTCTTTGTTTTACTATGGCTGCAAATATCAAAAAATTTCTATATGTGACACGGCACCAGAGTTAAGTTAGGGTTTTTCAAAATGCTGACACGCCGAGCTCAAAAGGTTCGCCATCACTGACCTAGACCATCTTTCCAGGACAATCAAGTATTATCAGGCAAGTGAGGAAAACTAGCAACATGAAAGACTAACAAATATTTTAAGTAATTCAGAAGGATAATTCAGAGAGAAGAGAGACATCTAACACATTCAGAAAAATGTGAGAAAAAAAATCTATAGACAAAATAACAACAAGATGCTGGAAAGAAGAAATCTCTAAGCATGTAAAGGAAAAGAACACATGAGATAAAAGATAAAATATTAAAAGATCCAATATCCAACTAGTAGGACTCCCACAAAAAGAGAAGGAAGAAAAATACAGAAAAAAATATTGTAATAGTTCTCTATTGCTGTTAAACAAATTACCCCAATATTCAGTGGCTTAAACCAACATTTATTATCTCACACAGTTTCTGAGGATCAGGAATCTAGGAGCAGCTTAGCTAGATGGTGCTGCCTTGGGTTCTGTCATAAGAATGTTAACAAAAAAACAGCTAGGCTGAGCCCATTTCTGGAAGTTCCACATCTAAGCTCACTCACATGACTATTGGCCAGAGGCCTCAGTCACTCACCACACAGTCCTCTCCATAGAGCTGTTCACAATATGGCAGCTGGCTTTCCCCAGAATGAGTAATCCAAAAGAGAGAAAGCAATCAAGACAGAAGCCACAGTGTCTTTTAAAACTTAACCTCAAAAATGACATATCTCACTTCTAGCATATTCCAATGGTTAAGTACACCAATTCTGGTGCAATTTGGGAGAAGAGTTCACAGGGCATAAATATCAGGAGGCATGGATCATTGAGGGTCACCTTGGAGGATGACTGTTATACTACTATCAAGAAAATCATAGGAAAAATTTTTCTCAGAGCTTCAGAGATATAAATCTTCAGATTAAAAGGCCATTAAGTACTAAAGAGAATGAAAAAAGATCTACCTAGATACAAATCATAAAATCTCATATCTCTAAGAATCAGACAACTGTAAAAGTGTCACAGAAAAGGGGGGGGGGGATGCTCAGCTACGAAAAAATAAAAACAAAACTACCACCAGACTTCTCATCAAATGAATAATAAAAAGACAAGGGAGTATTGCCTTAACAGTTGTGACAGAAAATGTGTATCAACCTAGAATTCTACATTCATCCAAATGAATAATCAAGCATGGGAGCAAATTGAGGTCCCATCCAGAAATATAAAGAATTAGAAAGATTAGCCTCCACACAAGCATTATTAGGAATATACTTGAGGCTACATACCAATAAAACAAGACCAAAAAAAACGAGATAATATAAGGTGTAGGAAACTCTAGATCAACCCTACAAGAGAAAAATTCCAAGGCAATGGCTGTACAGTATGCCTACAAAGCAAATGGACCAGACTGGAACAGAATAACAGAAAAAGGACAATATCATTGAGTAGAATAATAGAGATGCCATAAAGATATATTAGTTAAGAAAAAAGTGTAGTTGAAAACCTCAGGAAAAACAAAAGACAATATAACAAAGTAATAGCCCAAATAGAAATGAGTAAAAAGTGGTATGGTTTTAGCAGTTGAGAGAGCTATAAGAAAAGAGGCTATATACTAAACACAATTTCCTTAAAGTGGTCCAGGTGTCAGACCACTGAACTCAAAAAAAGTAAATGTATTCTAGCACGCTACTTCATTAGCCCTGTACTCAACAACATTCAAAAGGCATATTAATTGTTTTTAACTTTTAGAGTCAAGCTTTAGATGAAAGACTTGATTGCAAATGTAAAACAAAATGTTAGCAAACTTGACAATTTAAAAGTAAACAAGTAACTACCCTGGCCGGTGTGGTTCAGTTGGTTGGGCATCATCCCATGCATCAGAAGGTCGCAGGTTCAATTTCCGGTAAGGGCACATGCCAGGGTTGCAGACTAGATCCCCAGTAGGGGGCGTGCAGGAGGCAGCCGATCCATGTTTCTCTCATATGGATGTTTATCTTTCTCCCTCTCCCTTCCTTTCTCTCTAATAATCCATTTTTTTTAAAATATTTTTTTTAAAGTAAACAAGTAACTGTTAAAAGGTGGAAGACAGAGATGAGAAAAATAAGAAAGATAGAGGTGCTTATTAGTTCATTTTATATAAGGAGTATGAAGAAACTGATTATAGATACAACAATTAATAGATATTATAACTATATTTCATATGTGAAAAACAAAAAATATAATTATCAATATTTGGAAAGAAGTAAAAGAAGAGATGGAGAAAGGGAATGTAGTGTCAATAAACTAAATTCTTATCTATCATATAAGAAAGTCAACTGATATTAAGTTAATCCAAAATACAGAATTTAAATATTCTTTACATCAAAGTTATATCCTGAACATAAACTCCACTGTTGATGGTTTAGAAGATACTATGCTACATCCGGACTGACCCCGCTCCACACCTTTTCATTGGTTATGTGTGCTTTTGTGCACAAAAGTGCATGAGAATGTATATGCATATGTGACTGCATATATGTATATGCATTTCAACTAAATGCCTGACTTTATTTTCTTTCAGCATTTTTGTCTAAAAACATCACTGGATTGCAAGAAGTGGTCAGGGAAGGAAATATCCAGGTTGATGAAAGACTAAGATTAATTGAGATTTAATCTATTTCTCCAATGTTTGTAAAAGATTACTCAAACCAACCTACCATCACACAGGAAAATGGCATTGCCTCTCATTGTACAAATGCAAATGAAGTGAGAAGTGCACCTAATTTCAAGTAATGCTGAAAGGTGGCAGAAGGAGGAAGCACTAGATGTATCTGAAACTGTTTAAGGATCTTGAAATAATTTCACTTACACAAAAAAATCAGAGTAAGTAAATGCATTATGGTGAACCTCACAAATCTAAAAGAAAATTTAACAGAAGAGAACAGTGGGAAGAAACTATTGCTACCATCAGGAAGAGCTTTCTAACTGCAGCTACTCAACAACAGAATGTACTTCCTATAATAAAGATCTGATCTTCTATCAATCCATTGTTTAAGTAAAGAACAGAAATAATCTCTCTGTAATGTTTAAAACTTATGGAAGATTAGACTAAATAGTCCCCAAAATAGTAACTGTAATTATGAAAGTTCTAAATTAATAATGTTTGACTTACCAACATCCATTGCAGTTTCCATAAAGCTTTTTTGTCGTGAAGCAAACTCTGCAAGCAATTTTTGCTGCCTCTCTCTAGCCTTTTGTCGCCTAGATTAAACAGAAATAAAGTGATAAGTACCAGGCATGCTAAGGCTTATTTGCTATCTTTCAGGAGTATATGATGTATGAAAAGGCCTTTGTACACAGTTAACAGCAACATGAACTTGGGATCTAATGATTGATTTTTAACTTAAACAAAATGTTAACTTTCTTATTTGAAAAGCTGTATTGTGATTATATAAGAAAGTGCCCTTATGTCTAGAAAATACACACTAAAGTATTTCAGGGTAAAGCAAGTTACTCTTAAATAATCCAGGAAGTTCTTTGTACTATCCTTGAAATATTTCTGTAAGTTTGAGATTTCTTTAAAATAAAAAGGTTTGGGGGAAACCAAGATGGTGGCATAGGTAAACACCTGAAATTGCTGCCTCGCACAACCACTTCAAAACTACAACTAAAGACAAAACAGACATCACCCAGAACCACAGGAAGGCCAGCTGAGTGGAAATTCTACAACTAGAAGGAAAGAGAAAAGCACACTGAGACTCAGAGGAGGTGCAGAGGTACGGAGGCACTCGCATGGAAAGGGCTGGCAACGGAGGACGCCGGTGTCTTTTTCAATCGGGAGGGAGTCTCAAGCTCCCAACGGCCCTGACTCCAGTTCCGGGTGAGTCTCTGGAGAAACTCGACTGTCTGGCAGCAGGCAGAACTCGAGGGCAGCTTTCTCAGAGGTGCTCACAGCGATTACCGAGGGACACTGAGACCCAGGGGCCTCTTAGGGCAGGACTGAGGATCAGCCATAGCTGCTTGCTCCACCCTGTTGATTCCCTGAGACCCCACCCAACCCAAGCTGCGAGCAGAGGCTTTTGCATATGAATGGGCTGGCCCTTT